TTACGGTTACTAACCACCTTCCAAGGATGCTATTTATTGATATAACCCCCCCTCTTATGGGAGAGGTCTGTGATCAGCATTTGATCGTTAATGGCTGGTATGATGATGTTGTTGATAGTTTTCTTTAATAATTAAGGATAAAATTAATAAAATAATAAAACAAACACGAAAATTTACGACCATTATACGAGTGCAGCAAATACTCTAATTCTGTATTCGAGTATCGTGCATTCGAATTCCATATATTGTATTTATTACTCGTAAAAAATCATTTAAACACTTATTTTTGTAACTGTAAATATTGCTGAATAATTGTAATGAATTTTAAATTTTGTTACTGGCAACCACTAATATTTGATGAAAAAAATTCATTCATTCATTCAATCAGCTTGACTGGGACATCACTACTCGCGCGTGTGGTTTGTCAACGAATTCACTGCGGTTTTTGTTTTAAACGTGGGAAGTAAAATGCGGTACCAACGCGGTGTAGTGGTGTAGATTTACAAAGTTACACTATTATGTTACATTTCGTCGAAGGATTATGTTACTTACTACTGGATTCTTGAAATGTTTCAATAGCAGAAATTTAAAAATGCTTATTATTAGGTTTACTTGAATAAAAATTATTTTTATTTTATTTATTAAAAGTTTTTAAAAGTTTATATAATACTAGCGACCCGCCCCGGCTTCGCACTGATGTGATATTTGTTTGTGTAACTTTCAAACTCGTCAATACATTTTAGTGAGACTGGTATTTTGTCGTGTATGAAAATACTGTACTAATATTTTCTAAGATTTTAAATTGAAAGGCTTGTAAAATTTACAAAAAAAATAAATTTTTTTTTTTACTTTTAACATGAAAGCCATCTTTTTTGCTGAGATATTGAACTTAGATATGTAGTGTTGTGGACTTTTTTGTAAAACAAAAAAGGCCACGATACTATTTATTTATTTATTTATTTAATATATTAATATATTACTATTTAATATATTAATATATTACATTTAATATATAACTATATATAATAGAAAATAACAATAATGTAACAAGAGCCGGATTAATTATGTCAAGGCCTCTAGACAATGTAGGTTTCGCTTACAAAAAAAAATACTACGATTCATCTACATATAGTAACTTACGAAATGTATTAAAATATTAGGATGTAATATAAAAAAAAAGCAATGCAATAATATTTTCATTGAGCGTTTGTTTAGATACCAATTTCCATTTGTAATTTTCATCTAAAAATATATCGAAAAAAATATATCAGAGCGCGGAATCCCTAGCCGACAGCGGGCGCCTAGGCTACCTACACTGCCTAATAGATAATCCGGGCTAGCAACCATACTCTTGAATCTAATATCGATACCAATTTAATCTAATGTCAATGACATTTTTGTACTACACTTACTTGAATAACAATTAGGCATTAAAATTAAGATCCGTTTGCAATAGTTTGCATTGGCAATTTGCACTAATATGCATCTATCAGAACGGTATGGAATGCAATTCGGAAATGTGTAATGTTTTAATTCCAATATCGTTCTATTGGAATTTATTTCAAGAGTAACCCCACTGAATGGGGGGAAAGGGATTAGTGATGGAGACTGAGAATCCCATCGCTAGCAATATACCCAAACAGGTTGACCTCCTCGCGGTTCCTCCTGGAAACTATCATGGTTGATTCCTGATGAATTCATCATGATGGGCTAACTGGCCTGTTTTCATTCTCATCTATCACCCTTCACTGGTGCTTCGCCAGTATATCCCGTTAGCGCAGGCGGGATTACCATAACATTTTCACCCATCAAAAAAAATCCACTGAATGTAGCTCAAAATACCAAAAATTTGTCTATTCGTATTAAAGCTAATATAGAATACTGATTTATCTTTCTATCTATTCGAGTGAAGTCGGGGCAGATCGCTAGTATTTTATACAAAAATCACATACGGACGTTAAACTTGTACATCTTTGTCTTAGTCGGTTGACAGCTGTCCCTCTGGACCGGATGTTAAATGGCAGATGATGTCTACTGGCATATCGACCATATTGTTTTTTCTCTAATAAGGCATTAAAGCATTTTAGATCTTAATACCAAACTGTAAGGTGCAATTGCCTAATAAATGAAATTAGAGTAGGCGGGTAATGTGAAAAAAAATAGTGCTTACCGATTATTGTTTATGGTTTTAGTGATGTTCGAAAAAAATTAGTGTCGATATTTTCTAATTATCTTTTATTATATTTTTGAATTGGTTTTATAAAAAAAAAAGGATTATAGATTTTTTATTATTGTAAAAATAACTTTATGATCGTCATGATGTAACTGTTGTGAGTTCGATAAAAAATATAGGAGGTCCACCATTAAAATGAAATTATAAGAATAGTAATAATACTATTCCCATGGGTGTCGTAAAAGCCGACTAAAGGAGTGCGAGAGATGGGCAGCAGCGTCCCTCTTAAAACACCGCTAAAGCCTCACTGCGGTTGCCAATCCGCCAATTGTTGGCAATTACTGACAATACCCCTCCAAGGGGGAGGATTATATTCAGCAGTGGACAGTTTAAGGCTGATATGCTCTTACGACACACACGGGAAAGGAAGGGGTGACCTATTCTATGCCGGAACCACACGGCCATTTTATTTAAACGTATAACGTATCAAAATTGTTATTAATTGTTAACAGACCAAAAGCCGAGATGTCGATGGCGGATGTGACGTCAGCGCGGAGTTCTCCTACACCAGAAGCATGTCCAGAGTGCGACACCAGCGCCTCTGTTACGTCCGACTTGCATAAGGTCAGTAATTGTATTAATTTAGACACCACGCCGGCATACAAAGACCATCAGTGTATGCCGGCTGAAAACCCAGCGACCCAGAGGTCGTCGCCTCCGGAGTAGAAGCCGGGATAATGGGGTACGCCCCGAGGCCCCTACGTCGCCTGCCCACACATCATCCGGCGGGCAAGAGATGACCATGTTGTTGTTTGTTGTATGAATTTGTAGTTATCCTTAGTATAATAATTGTGAAAGTGAATTTGTTTGTTTATTACCTTTTAGCGCCTTAACTTGATTTGGAAGAAAGAAAGAATTTACGAAATTACCGTCTTTCTGGGGGAAATAATTTAGTAATGGGCTTTAAGAACTCCATTATTAGTAATATATCCTCTAAGGTTAAAGATCCCCATGCTGCAGACCGTTCCAAGAACCTTGACGTGGAGCTATTCCCATAACTTGGGAGTGTTCATGGGAGGAAACATCTCTGTAACCGTTCTCTATAATATGGATCTGGCCTTAACGAAACTTGTTTAAAACTTTTCAGTACCAAGTGGCTTGCACTTGTAAGCCTTCGTCGGCGCAGTACGCATGCGCGGACGATCCCGGTCCACCGCCGCCGGCCAAGACCGACACACCACCAGCGCTTCCTCCGCGCCCACCAACCAGTGTGCTAGCAGCCACTAATAGAAGAAATAATGGTAAGCTTTATCTAAGGCTCGAATTGCACTATCACGTACAGATATAAGAGTCGACTAAGGGAGGGTGAGGGATGGGCAGCAGCGTCTCTCTTACGACACCCACGGGATAGGTAGGGATGGCCTATTCTATGCTGGGACCACACGGTTTTGTAATGCAAGAACACTATATTATTTTTGTAATGAAGGTAATATCTGGTGGAGTGGTCAGCGATTAAAATACAAACTGTATTAAATTTGACTCCTTTAACCGACCAGAGATAGAGTCATTCCTAAGAGTTCCTAAGGGTTTATACCTCCCTACTCAGTTATTTCATTGTCTGCTTACCCTTCAAATCGAAACACAGATATGCGAACCAAGTTGGTTCACAGCAGAAACATGGTTGTCACAAAGGTGAAAAAAAATGCAGACGACTTTTGCATAAAATCTCTCTCTTGTTACACATATTTAATTCTTTTCATCCCGCCAACCAGTGTCCACTTTATCTTCTTATTCATAAATACACAAAAGCAATACCTGTCTCCTTAAAATTATGGTTTCCGGGGAATTTACAAAGATTCTGAAAGACACCGACACTGTCTCGAACGCAATAGTGTAATATATTTCGCAAATAAATGTAATGCAGGTGCAATAGGAAAAAATCTTCTCACGTATACGAAAATACCGACATATTAAAACCTTGAATGTACCTGCGGACAATGGTTTCTCAATTCTACCTGTGCTATTCATTCAGTTAAAAAAATATATGTTTAGAACCATGGGTTAATGTCATGAGCATATTTTCTAATGGGACAGTCGACATATTTGTCGACTGTTAAATTTTAAAAAAAATTTTTGTTTAATTTTGTCTTCATTTTGTCCATTTTTCGAGAGAATTATGGATCAATGGTATAGGTATATTCTGACTTATATATCGCAAAGGTAGTAAGTTCGAATTTATTAGACACAAAAAACTTTGTGATCAAATTTAAATTTTCTTTTAACTCTATTTTTTTAATTAGATAAAGACAAAAAACATTTTTAGGAACAAATTCATAGTTAAAATACTCAATATTTTAGACCCATACAGTAGATAAAATATTTCGTTTGTGCCGTAGATTATAAAAAAAGACAATATTGCATTGCCATACATTAAAAAAAATATTGAATAAATAAATAAATATTTTCTGTTTTCATTTACTCATTATTTACCTATTGGAGCTATTATATGCTGTACATAACCATATTACATTACTAGTTTACTAAATTACTAGATCATATTATTTTAGGTTATAACAATATATATTATATATTTTTTTTTAATTTAGGATCACAGAAAAATTCCAACACGCTCTTTTATTATCTTTTTGTAACATTATTCATTTTTGATAACATTTATAAAAATATCTACTAAGTTCTGTTTCGTTTTTATGACAGGTTAGTTAAATTTACGCGGCAAACTGCTGTCACAATCCTAAATCAGTTCAGTTTACGATCTTTTTACCTGCACCCTATAAAGTGTCCATTGCTTCTGCGCGAGTTAGCCCCATTGTTAACACATAACCTAGTCGGACCTCTGAATAAATAATGTAACCCAATTCTATTGAAATAAAAACATTGTTATTATTATTAATTCCAAGTTCTTTGTACTGTATACGAAGTGTTATTTGTTGTAATAAACGTGTTACATTTTGGTTTTGATCAAATCACATATAATAAGGAGGGAAAAATAAAGGAGAGTTTAGTTTTATTGTTACAAAAAGAAAAAAAAATAGACAATGCAATTGATTTTGTTTAGTGCTGTGAAGACAAAATGACCACACTCATACAGCCAGTGCGTTTGATAGTGTAAACAATATTGTTGTTAATAAAAGGGTCATCGTTCCTTACGTTTGCGTGGGTTGTAATATCGATTTTATAGCAATGGCGCGGTATTCGAAACTTCGCATCACTAGTCTGTTTACTTCCGTAAACACAGTTGAATAATTCTACATCTGTGATTTTATTAAAAAAAAAAATTGGCATTATTTTTTTATTGTATAAAAATGGCGGGAAATCGGACTTTTCAGTGTTGTGATTATTTTGGACTATAGACAAGTTTTTTTTAGTGCATGGCATGCAAATGTGTAGTGTTATGCAAGTGTTACAATACCAAGTATCAGCACCACAGTCGACGATTGCGGCCGAAGTGGCACAGCACTATGTGCCGCCACCTCCTTATTTTGGTAATTTTTTTTGGGATTTCAAAAAGGAGTAGATCTATTCAATCTACTATTTTTTTTTTACTATTTTTTGTTACATATTTTCGTCAGTTTAGTAGTGATTTTAATAAATATTTTAATAAATAAATTTTTCTTAAGCTCATTTTTTTTATTAGGGCTTTAGCTTGGATTCTAGTCTTTTAGCCAAACATATTTTGGAATATGATCACTTATTTATTATTTATTTACTTATTTATTCGAATATAATTATTATGTATAAGTATTATTATTGGTAACACTTTTCACAAGAAAGTACAATCTTGTTTCAATCGCTAGTGTTGTCAACTCTATAGCCAAGATCCATATGTATGTTGCTAGATTTAGCTAAAAAGTTGCTGAAGTGACAACGAGGACCCCTAATTAGGGGTCCCAAAGTGGAACCAATTGGTTCCACTTTGAATCTATATTTTTTTACGATTGAAGGCTTAAATTTTTTTCATGACTATCTTAGGCTGTAGCATCGTCAATTCTGAACCGATTTTCATAATTCTTTTTGCAGTCGTCATCATGACGAATTTTACAAAACTTAACTACCGGGAACCGCGTAGATGCCGTCCTAACAGAGTATATTGCCAGCAATGGGGCTGTTGTAAGACACCATTATTACTCTAACTATAATACCTCCCCCCAGCTCTTTTGCCATTATCTTGCTATTCGTACCACCATAAATGTGAAAGCGTTTGAGTATGTATGTTATTCTTTCACGCGATAACTACTAAACGGGTTTAAATATAATTTGGTATGTACACGGATAGATTACATCCTAAATTAGCATATATGATATGTATTGATTCACGTGGGCAAAGCCGCAAGAAATTTATTAGGTTTTTTTTATGTGACTTAGAGTGGTAAACAACTGCCCACCTGATGGAAATTGGTAACAGACGCCTATAGATGAGCAGTACCATGGACATAACAGAGTATACTGTTTCGCCCATGATACCCCCATGCGTTGCCATTCCTGAGGACTCAGGTGTTATTCCTCTGTACCCTGTAAATTCACTGTCATATCCCACCCTTCAAACCGAAACACAGCCATTCAAACACAACTGCTTCACAGCAAAAACACGAATGGGTCAGACGTATTGTTACTTATTAAGTATCATAAAAAATCGCCGCATGGTCCCGGCATAGAATACGCCATCTCTTTCTCTCCCGTGCGTGTCATACGAGGCGACTAAGGGAGGCCAAGGAATGAGTAGCTGCATCCCTCTTAAAACAGAAGCCTCCCTCTAAAAACCTAACTGCGGTTGCCACCCGCCTACCTAGCTTGGCAACTATTGGCAAATCTCCCCTTATGGGAAAGGCTTATGTCCAGCAGTGGACAGTTAACGGTTGAAGTAATAATAAAAAAGACTGCATCTTTTCCATTCCAGCATCAGTGGGGATAAACAACGTGACGTCATGTCGCCGCCACAAGTACGCGTGGTGGTGCGTGGGGTGCGGCGCGCTGGCAGCCGCGCTGGGTGGACTCCTCGCCGCGCAGCACATAGTGCTCAGATTCTTTACCGCCTCCCCGCAGCACCTTGAGACGGTGCCCGCCGCTGTACCGGCAGCTATGGTGAGGATTTTGAATTTGATTGGCTTTTGAGTGAGAGAGCTAGTAAGAAAGGAGGAAGGAGAAAAGAAAGTACGGAAGGATTTTAGGATTTCAGAGGAAAGGAGACAAGGAAGAAAGTAGTTGCATTTAGCTTAGGGAACCGTCTGTTGTGTTGTGGACAGCATACCGTGCTGGCTGTTAGGGTTCTTTCCCGTACTCCCACTTCACAGCATGGAGTAAGGAGTTTGACTTTGTTTGACTATGTTCTGAGTAATTGGTTTGTGTAGAAAGGAAGGAAGAGGGAAAAAGTAGAAGGAAAAGATGAAAGTAAGAGCGGACGGAAGGACTAAAGAGAAAGACTGTGGTAATTATATAATTTTCTATTGAGTCCTTGATCTGGCCCTCTAGTGGTCCCAAAAGTGGCAAGCGAATTCGTCAATAGAACCGGCAAGCGAGTCCATGAGTTTGAATGAGACACCCAATGTTGCTATCCCACGGACTCGCTAGCGATGTCGATTCCATCAATGACTTCGCTTGCTACTTGTCTAGAAGGTGTGAATGTAAAGAAAAAAAGAAAGAAGGTTAAGATGAATACGGTAGAGAGGAAGAGGTAAAATAGGAAAAATAACTAGCAGAATAAGGAAACATAGACAAGTGAGAGGCAAAGGTGAATATGAAAAGAGGAGAAGAAACGAAGAGAGAAAGAGAAGGACAGAAGGGAAGGGCTCTTGGAGGCTACTGAAAATTAGCCAAAAGTAATAGCATAGAGGAATTTGTTTGTTAGTGGTTTGAGAAACCGAACTGGTTTGAATATAATACTTTTTGTTTCAGTTGGTATTAACTGGTGTCTGTATAATGAGTTTGGCGCGAAGAAGGAACAGATACAGCTATATGGTAAGAAAAGTATGTCTTACTGATATATTAATAAATAAATTATCATAGAAAATATTAAAATCATAGACAGACTCGGCGTATGGATTTTTCTGGATTGCAAACCCCAGAACGATTGGTTACACGCGAGGTGTCAATCGCGCGATGCAGTCCCTCGTGCCGTGATGATCTCGGCTCATAGTATACAGTAATGTCACTGCTATATCTGGTACTTCAAACTGGAATAAGCTGCTTGGCGGAAGAAATAGAAGTATTAATGGAAACCATTTTATTTTTCGTTAATTTATATCATCTAACGAAGTAATTTTTTTTATACAACTTAGAATGGCAAACAAGCTGACGGCCCATCTGATGAAAAGTGGTAACCGTCGCCTATAGACATGAGCAGTACCATGGACATAACAGAGTATACTGTTTCGCCCATGATACCCCCATGCGTTGCCATTCATGAGGACTCAGGTGTTATTCTTGGGGTGGTGAATTTACTGGGTACAGCCCAGTAAATTCACGTTATATCCCACCCTTCAAACCGAAACAGCTATGCAAACATAACTGCTTCACGGTTGAAACACTAATGGGACAGAGGTACCCAAGCAATTGACTTTTGTACAAAGTCTCCCTTTGGTAAAATAATATAATATAAAATAAAAGATTCACGCTTGAGGAAGACTGTACAAAAATTGCCTGCATAAGATATTAACCCAATAACCCAGCAAAAAAAAACACCTTAGTCCTCAGCAATGGTGACGCATGAGGAGTACTACCATCATAGCATAACATAATATAAACATATAAGCCTATGTTTAGCGTACGCAGTCCATGACTATAGGCGGTGGTTACCACATTCCATGAGTAAGATTACCAGCATTGCCATTTTTTTTGATGGGTGAAAATGGAATGTTAACCCTGCCTGCGCTAACGGGATACGCTGGCGGAGCACCAGTGAAGGGTGATAGACGAGAATGAAAACAGGCCAGTTAGCCCATCATGATGAATTCATCAGGAATTAACCATGATAGTTTCCAGGGGGAACCGCGAGGACGTCGACCTGGTTGGGTATATTGCTAGCAATGGGATTCTCAGTCTCCATCACTAACAATCCCTTTCACTCAGCATTGCCATATTAGGTTAAAAAAAAAAAAAAACTATGTAATATTTTTCCAGCTTTGTTGACTCAGTATATTTTGTAATTATGTGGTAATTTTCAGATCAAAGTAGTGGGCGCTTGCTGTCTTGTCTGCGCTCTTACTTGCGTACTGGTCACAATTACCACCACCGTTATACACATGAATAAGTAAGTACACTTCCTTCTTTGTTTTTTTTGACCTTAGAGATACATTTATTTATCCATCCCGTCCTCATTTGATGCAGATAGCGAGATGCCTGTATATTGGGCGCAAAATGTTATTTGAGGGTAGAGTGCAAGTTAGTGGGTATAGGGCAAATAAGATAGAAGGGAAGGGTTGATTGGGCAAATCCGTTTATCTCCTTCTGTCAAATTAATTTCATGCCAGTTCTTCTCGATCGAATGGGCCACCTCTTTCTTTCCCGTGGGTGTCGTAATATGCGACTAGGGGAATTTAATGGTCGAGAGGTGGGCAGCAGCGTCCCTCTTAAAACATCTTTAAAGCCTATTTGTGCTTGCCAATGCGCTTGCCAAGCAGAGCAACTATTATTAAAATCCCATAAGGGATGTTCAGCATTGAAAAGTTAACAATGATAAGTGTCATACTAATACTGAAGTTGTTGCGACCCAAAATCTACTTGTAACCTCGCGATTTTGTGTTCTAAAACTAACCGAATGAGTTTTCTAGATGCTTCCACGAGCGAGGAACCAACGAGGCCATTTGTTAGGGCTCATATATTATATTATATATCTTCTCGATTGAATCTTTTAGAATGGGGAGAAAATCTTACTTGAAATATCTTGTTCCAGACTTCAAACCCTGAAGCTTTGCGAGTACACAAAGCTGACACGAACTTGCACGTGCTTCTCTGCACCGGCTGATGGCCAGCATCCGGCTGACGATGATGGTGAGGATCCGTATGCTATAAGTTTTTTAATACCTTGTATTAAATTTATTTTTAAGAGAAACTGTATAGAAGTCGTATGCATGAATGTCAAACATGTTCTTTTGTTTATGCAACTTAGAATGGCAAACAAGCTACCGGTCTATCTAATGGAAAGTGGTAACTGTCGCCTATAGACATGAGCAGTGCCATGGATATAACAGAGTATACTGTTTCGCCCATGATACCCCCATGCGCTGCCAATTCTGAGGACTCAGGTGTTATTCCTCTGTACCCTGTAATTTCACTGGCATATTTCACCCTTCAAACCGAAACACAGCCATGCAAACAACTGCTTCACGGTAGAAACACGAATAGGACAGAGGTGTCTAAGCAAAAGACTTTTGTACAAAGTGCGTCTAGTTCCTGGAGTAACGCAGCCAAGATCTAGTTACTAGGTGTTGGTTTAAAATGTAACCTGTTTCGATACTACTTAATGACAATGTAATTCCAAATTTGTTGATATTATCAAAGAAATATCCTCTAAATAAAATTAGTAACAAAAGCATTCAATCAATTGATTGGTTTTTGATTTGGTCAGGTCAATTATTTATTTATTTATATCTCCATTAAGTTCTATTGAAATCATTTTACTGAATCAGGTATTGTCTATATCACTGGTTATTTGATTAAAATTATTTTGTTTACTTCCGCTACCATTAGTATGTGTGCGACTGCCAACACTCGAGGATTGACCACCACTATTACTAGCAGAAGTTCCACAACCTTCCATATTAGACATCCATCTCTGACTGCCATTTTGTTTACGCACGATTTGCTACACATGTTTCACCTCTAAACGAGGTATCTTCAAGCAAATTATTAGATCGCTACTCGGAGCCTAGTGTTACCCATTCGGTGACCAAATTGGAATTATCAATTGGAATATTATTATCTATTGAAAGAACTGTACATGTCATCTTCTCTATCCAGGAGTTCGCTGCGTGTTTGAAGGCGTGAAAGACTGCGGGGTCGTACACGGCGCCCTCTACTGGTGTCTCAGGGGAGTCTTTGCTTTATCTGTCACTGCTGTGCTGGTCTGCATATTCAGCTGTATGCTGGCATATCAACTGCTTAGGTAAGTTAAAAATTGTTTTATTTGTTACTAATTTTTACATGCAACTTCGACCGTGTGACCGGAATATGGTTACTGAGACAAAATATAGCCTACATCCTTTTCTATCTCATATAGTAGGTGTATAGCAAATTTCATAGTGATTGGTTAAGCCGTTAAGGCGCTATAAGGTAACAAACAAACTCACTTTCACGTTTAAGCTATTAGTATGTATGTATCTATTTAAAACAATACGAACATTTTTAAGTAAACGTATCTGCTATCTATTACCTATAGTCCAATCTCTGGTTAGCTTGTAACTAGATGACGCTATGTGGTATTTATTTATTTCAGAACTTGTTTTTGAATCTTCCATGTGATCGGAATTCAAAATAGCCTAATTTCCCGGTATTTAGCGGTTTTGTATTGATTAATTAACCGATTTTTTCTAGAGAGAAAAAATCGTATGTCAGACAATCCAAATAAATACGAGTGTGATATTAAATAGTGACAGATTTCTTTTATACAGACGTACAGGCAGACAATTGTTAAGTTTAATAAAATTTATTATACCAAGTATATTTCTAAGAAAATAATTTGCAATAACAGTCTATTAAATATAGTATTAAAACGAAACAGTTTAGCAAAATTAAGAAATAACAAACAATGACAAATAGTTACGTTTTTACGGACATTGAATTTAATTTTTTATTGAGCGAAGTCAAAGCAATTTGCTGTATGTGTGATCTATTCTCCAGTAGTTTGATACTGTGTTTCAAATCAGTCACTTCAGACTTGACGCATACGTAATCCATTATATCTGGTACTTCGTATGCCTGCCTTATTGTCTTCACTTCATCAAGCTTCTTCACCAAACTGTCCACTTGTATTTGTATCTTTTCTCTCTCTTTATCTAATTCCATAGTCAATTTCTCTTTCTTTCTTATAGTATTAATTATATTTGTTAAGTAAGTGTTCTGTTCCATCATTGCTTTTTTATGTATCGTCAAATTTAAATTTGCATCCCCGGTCATCTTTTTCAATTCACTCAACTGTTGTAATTTCTTATCAATTATGTTAACACACTCGTTGTTTTCTATTTTAAGTTTCTGGAAATCTACAGCTCTTAGACTCTCGCTCAATTCGGATTTTACTTTTATCTGGCTTTTCAGTTTACTGAATTGTGCATTCAGTGTGCTAGTCCTAAGTCTCAATTTGCCTATTTGACTATCACAAATCTTCAGCCACTCCATCATAAATCTTATCCATATTTCAGCTGGGATCCTTTGAGCTATTTTATCCCAGCCTTCAATTATCACTTCTTCGTTGAATGTTTCATTAGCTTTGACTATATCGTTCACTCTTATACCGATCTCTTCAAGTTGAGCCTTTAACAGTGCTTGTTGTTTTGAGGCTTTATTTCTTGCTTTTTCTAAATTGTGAATTAGGATCTCCATTTCGGAAGACACAAGTTCGGATCTCTCCAACACGTTAATCCTTGGACCGGTCCCGAATATGATCGTACCACCAAGTTTAACAGACGACTCGACCCGTCTTGTGGACACTTTTGACGGACTTGTCAGCATTCTTGACGGACTCGTAAGCGAATCCAGGCCTCCGATTCTAGAAGTCTGCGACTTGACAAAACTCCCAACGTTCATGGATGAGCTGCTTTGGAGTTTATGGGCGTATTCCAACGCCTGTTGGATACCATGCATCAACGATGGCTCCAGTCTAATTATGGTTCTTTCGAAAATTTCGTTTTCCAAATTTAGAACTTTTATTTGGTGCTTCAGATCGTTGACTAGTTTTATCAGCTCCGTATCGGTCAACTCGTCTAAATCTTGTATGAAGTGACTCACAGATCTCGAGTGTTGACTAATACTAGTTCTATGCGTGTGTGATTGTGACTGGGACATGATTGATTTTTTAAAACATTAAAAATTATTCGTAAACTCTAGACAACGTTAACGTCAAGGCACTGCGGTGAAAACTGTAGAAGTGTTGAAGTATGTGTTATAAATCCAATATCTGTCACGGAATAGTGAGGTGTTTCTTACCGTTCTGTACTTAAGGTCGTAATTTCAATGGTGTCTGGTTGATTTAGTGACTAGTCAAATTTCTTGTTTCCCTGACAATATATTCGTTGCTATAGAAACAGAGTGTGCTAGTTTTTCTAATAAAAGCGTGATAATGAGGTCGTATATTTTACGTGGTCGTATACAAGTGTTCAATAGGTGTTTTTTGATGTGTGTGTTTATTTATGTGAAACCAGTTTTTTAACGCGATTTATTCCGCGTAATTGGGGAAATATATTATTGATCTGTATCAAGTATTACCTGTATTTTATTTATTTAAATAACTTTAGTGACCAGAATAAAATATGGTACAAAATGCGGATTAAACGCTAGTAGCATTCTCTACCAGTCAACCTTTGTGAATCACGAACGCGGGACTTCCTTATTCAGATTGGTAAAGAAAATAATGTATACCTATACAATATATATATAATAGATAGATACTCTTTATTGTTTTCTCCAAAAGATTACAATAGTAAAATTAAATATAAATACATTAATTATAAATAGATACAAACAGTTACAAGATATGTTCACACTGATAAAACAATGGGCGGCCTTATCGCTAAGAGCGATCTCTTCCGGGCAACCTTTGGATGGAGAGAAGTAATTATAAACATTTTTATCTATATACATATATACATAAATAACATTAATAATGATTTGCAATGATATCATGATGATTAATGAATGTTTTATGCCAAATTTTATGACCTTTTTTTTATACAACTTAGAATGGCAAACAAGCTGACGGCCCACCTGATGGAAAGTGTTAAGCGTCGCCTATAGACATGAGCAGTACCGTGGACATAATAGAGTATACTGTTTCACCCATGATACCCCCCATACGTTGCCATTCCTGAGGACTCAGGTGTTATTCCTCTGTACCGTGTAAATTCACGCCATTAGTCCGCTACTAAATGTATGAGTGTTTATGTTACAGTCATGAACGCAAGAAGATGTACTGGGAGCAACTAGAACTGAGATGCAGGTCGTTGTACCGTCCACCAGCGACGCAGAATTCCCAACAGCCCAGCCGTCAAGTACAGGTAAGCGTTTTGTTTTGGAGTTTTTCAAGCGAAAATCAAAGTACAAAAGTATTTTTTACTATACTTAGAATGGCAAACAAGTTTACCTACTTAATAAAAAGTGGTAACTATCATCAACAGATCTGTAGAGCATGTGTGGACATCGCAGGATGTACTCTGGTGCCCATGGTATCCGTCATGCATTGTTATTTCCCCTCCCTTCTTAAGGAAAGGAGATGGCAAACTAACCCCCGGCAGAAGCACAGTCGATCGATGAGAATGAAAGGAGGTCGACCTGGTTAGGTATATTGCTAGCAATGGATTTTTAATTTCCATTACTAAAAATCCCTTTCTCCCCGGTCGTAAGCTTGTTTGCCACTATAGTAGTGTAAAAAAGCTAGTCCCAATTACTACTAATTCCTTCCTTTTAGGGGGGGAAAGGGATGGTTAGTAATGGAGACTGAGAATCCCATTGCTAGCAATATACCCAACCAGGTCGACCTCCTCGCGGTTCCCCTGGAAACTATCATGATTATTTCCTGATGAATTCATCATGATGGGCTAACTGGCCTGTTTTCATCCTCATAGATCACCATTCACTAGTGCTCCGCCAGCGTATCCCGTTAGCGCAGGCGGGGTTATCATTCCATTTTCATCCAATAAAAAAATACCCTTCCTTTTCTTTGCAGAGTAACTGCAGCTGTTGTGCGCAGTGTCACCCAGCGCAGCCAGCATGGGACATTAGTTTGCAGCACAGGTTTTGGGCGCCAGGTTAGTATTTTTAATCATACAATCATCATCATCATCATCATATCAGCCTTTGTCTACTGCTGAACACAAGTTTCCCCTTTGGGTGAGGGGTTGCCAGTAGTTGCCATGTTTGGCAGGCGAATTGGCAACTGCAGTTAGGCTTTGGAGATGTTTTAAGAGGGACGCTGCTGTCCATCCCTCGTTCTTTTAATAATTATAAAATGATACTATTTTAGAGATCAACTATTCAATACTAAATATAGGTCTCTCCCTCGGGGAGTTTTGCCAGTAGTTGCCACGTTTGGCAGGCGCATTGGTAATTGCAGTTAGGCTTTGGAGATGTTTTAATAGTGACGCTGCTGCCCATCCCTCGACAATTAAATGACAGTTTAATATGTTACGAAATATTTTTCCATTTCAGGCCGCATAGGCAATTTGTACTCTCCTAATCCTGGAACTGGAAGGAAGACATCCGCATGGAGCTGGTTTCCATGGCCGAGGAGTAACAGTCAAAAGTAAGTGCATTTGCACGCAGCAAGACTTTAAGTATTTTAATGTAATAATTTTTTTTTATACTACAAAGTTGGCAAACAGGCATACAGCCAGTCTGATGGTAAACAGTCACTGTAGTCTATGAACGCCTGCAACACTAGCGATGTCACGTGTGCATTGCCAACCCTGAAGAAACTTTAATATATCCTTTTTGAAGAATCCCATACTTTAGTCTCTACTGGCTCTAATGTCTGATTGTACTTCACTACCGGTTTAATTGTATTTTGGTCGATAAAGCTCGACTAGTTTTGGGACCATTCGGGACCCTTAATCTACTGTGTACTTATGAAACTTTTAACAATGTAAGACTTCATATTAGTTACATCATCATGAAAGATCAGTCACGTTGTCCGGCCATGACTTTTGCAACAGGCTCGATTTTTTTTATGTAATTTAAAACGGCAAACAAGCTGACGGTCCACCCGATGGAAAGTGGTATACACATATGGTAAATATGTAAAGTGTATATTTATTAAAGAGAAATACATCCTATTTCAGTTCCCGTTGTCGTATGGGGGCCGTTCCTCAATCGGGAGACAGCGCGTATGGTTTTTGTGACAACGATACCACCCCCACCACCAACCCTCAGCCGTCTTACGAAGATCGCTCCTACAATTTCAGCCAATTCCGCAACCAACCGGCCAATTTCAATCAAAGTCAGGCCAACTTCCCTCAAAGTCAGGCCGGATTTGCCCAAAGTCAGGCCGGATTCGCTCAAAGCCAGGCAAATTTCGCTCAAAGTCAGGCCAGTTTCGCTCAATTCGGACAGGAAGGGTTTGGGGAGGCGAGCGGTAGTTTTGATGCTCAGACTGGTGTTTGGGGTCCACCGCCACCTTACAGTCCTCAAGGGAGAAGTGGAAGCAGGTAAGGCATGAGGATTTGATATTATTTTACATTATTTGAATTTTTTTTACATAATACTTTTTTTTTAATATTTTTTATTTAGAGGCTTTTATCCTATAAGGATATGTCAGCCTCAGAATACTCTAATTTTATAAAATACCTCACATACTTAAAACATTAATACATAAATAAATAATACATAATATCTTAGTAGTCTATTTTCATAAAGGGAATTATTGATACAAAAATATAGTAATTAAAGATTTTGCCATTCCGGAATGTGGCTCTGCGAGTATATTTGAAAATAAACCAATCTCCTGTCTATTGAGACTATATTTCTGTATCAATACTTCCCTTTGTGTTTTGTATTTCGTACATTCGGATATCATATGATGAACATCATCCAATGTGTTATAAATACAATACTTAAGTTAGAGCGTTTGTACATTGTCGCCCAATGTAATACGACGTATCTGGCATATTTTACCGTTTTGAAATTGAAACATATAATAGAAAATTAACAAATAATAATTTCAATGCTTCAATAAAATTATTTACAAAATAAAATATTAGTATATTATCTTGCATTATATTTCATTATAATTTCAGACATCATTTGCATCACCAAGACCCGGCAGCTACCACTCTTCTCCATCACCATCACATAGACGTCCACCGCAACTCAATGCCCATACACGACCATACAAACATACCAATACAGCCTCACGCGTGCCCTCGCAATTCATACATGATGCACAATGTCCCCCAAAACATGGAGATGAGTCGATTGAATCCGGAAATGAGTAGATTGAATCCCGATATGAATCGATTGAATCCAGATATGGGTCGATTGAATCCTGACTTGGGTCATCTAGCTCAAATGTATCCTACAGATGTAAATGATATAGCTCGTATGCAAGAAATGGGACATATGGGCCCACAGGACGGGCGATTTAATACGTTACGAGGCCATTTGGTTCCGTACAGGGCCTGTCAGAGATCCTTAGGCATGAGTGCTGGTAATTTGCACAGGGATTGTAGATTAGAAGACAATGTTGCGATCGAGTGTTTGCATCAAAAAACTGGAAGTAAAGGTAAAATTATTATATCTTACATAATTATTTTATTTATAATAAATCCCATTGAAATTAAAATTTAAATCCTTAATTACTTTGATTAATTAATTATTTCTATAATTAAATTATATAATATAATTTAATGATATATAATTCAATAAAAAAATATTTAATATATAACGTATTAGATTAAATTATTACTTTAAAGAAATAATTAAATTGAAATAATTAATATAAGTAAATAGTTTAATAAATTATTTAACTACTTAATTTATTTTATTAACGATTATTGTTAGTTAATTGTATTGTTTCATTAATTAAATAAATTATTAATTCTCAGTTTCAGATCAAAGCACCGATTCGTGCCCTAAGCAGGGCAAGGAGAATCTTGGCTTCCAAAATGATAAGCATTCTCCAATCAGGTAAGCAAAATATATTAATGTAATAAAATTGTAACTGAACAATGTCTGTACATAGTATATATTAAAAGAAAAAAAAAAAAAGAAATATTTCTATGCGACATTTTAACAAGACCAGTTGAAGCTAAATCAATAGTTTTTAGAAATTTTTGTGTATCTGTTTCAGTTTTTTTTCTGTCTGGAATCAAGCAAAAATTACTAGCCCAAATTGAATGCTATTTTCACAGTTGTATTCCTAAAGATTTAACTTAAAAACTGGTATTTTCTCATTTTTTTTTTATGCAACTCAGATGGGTAAACAAGCTGATGGCCCACCTGATGGAAAGTGGTAACCGTCGCCTATAGATACGAGTAGTACCATGGACATAACAGAGTATACTGTTTCGCCCATGATACCCCCCATGCGTTGCCATTCCTGAGGACTCAGGTGTTATTCCTTTGTACCCTGTAAATTCATGCCATATCCCACCCTTCAAACCGAAACACAGCCATGCAAACACAACTGCTTCACGGTAGGAACACGTTCTATTTTCATATGGTATGTTTTGTTCTTGATACATGATCTAGTAGTAGTCAATTTCATTATATTTCTGACTTCTGAAATCCAAGCATACAAAGTCGGGGGGAGAAGCTAGCGAACGGATATATTTATTAGCAAGATACATTGAACTTGTACATACACGAATGAGCTCCCTGTCGAGGTTTTACCAAAAGACTACAGCATGGGGTTCTTCAAAAAAGGCGTAAAGAGATTTTATCGGGGCTGGCAATGCGCGCGTAATGCCCCTGGTATTACGGTAATTGTTTACCATTAGGTGGGCCGTATATTCGTTTGCCATTTTAGTGGTATAAAAAAACATTTGAACTTTTGTGTTTACAGGGCTTCAATGCAGGACTGCCACCGCAACGGCAACCAGAATGCTGAGTCAGAAGTATACTTCGCTGACGTGTCGAGTTGTTGTAACGTCTCTGTCAAAGTATAACAGACTTATTATTTGTTTGTCTGTCTATTTATATTTCTATACATTTGTTATGGTCTCACGTGGAAATTACTGGACCAAATTGGATGCACTTTTTACAATTATATTCCTGAGGGTCTAACCGAAAATCTAATGTGTTTCTCCTTGATACGTCATCTAGGAGTGGTTTAAACGGGTTTTGAATGAAATTTATTTATTCAAATAACTTTATTGACCAAAATAAAATAAGGTACAAAAGCCGGACTTAATGCTAGTAGCGTTCTCTACCAGTCAACCTTTGGGACGAACAGTGGGTCACGAACGCGGTACTTCATTATTGGGATAGGTAAAGAAAATAACAACTAATAATATATACGTATGTATATAAAATAAATAATAATAGTATAAAGAAATATGCATATATATTTTAAACTACATAAATAGATATATAAAATATAAATTATATAAAATTTAGTACATAGATAGATTAGTATATAGAATTCTCTATATATATTAGTATATGCGGGTAATGTCGCAAGATACTATTGTTTTAATTATATTTTTTTTTCTTCCAGGCCGACTGCTGCATGAACTCCAATGTGTCAGCATTAGTTGGCACGATAGAAAACCATCCAGAGTCCACGTCCGAGTCCGACACGGGCTCGTTCACACTCACGCGACAACAACGCCCTCAACCCCAAGTTGGTTCGAAACGTCGCCCGCGCCAGAACGACAAACACACGAAGAACCAGCGCCAAGAAATGAATGCCATTCGATTGACTGAACAACAATTAATCGAGCAACTTAACAGCTCGATGCGAATGAGCGATCGAATGAACGATTCAAGAGTCAGTGACAGTGTGAACGAGACTCGAGTCAGCGACCGAAACGATTCCAGAGATCGATTGAACGACTCGCGAATTGAAAGGATCAACGATTCGAGAATCAGCGACAGGATGAACGAAACGAGACTGAGTGAGCGCATGAGCGGTTCTAGGGATCGTTTGAACGAATCGAGAATAGAAAGGATGAATGAGTCGAGATTTGAAAGAACGAACGACTCGCGTATTAGTGATAGGATGAGCGAATCGAGACTGAGAGAGCTAATGAACGATTCCAGAGATCGCCTGAACGAGTCCCGTATAGAGAGAATGAACGATTCCAGAATTAGTGACAGAATGAACGAATCGCGAATCAGCGACAGAATGAACGATTCCCGTATTAGTGATCGAATGAGCGAACGCAGCGACCGATTGGACCGAATCGAAGACAGGAGGATGTCGGACTTGAATTCCAGTATTCGAATCGAAGGTAGTCCAAAGATGCGGACTCACATGAGTCCACTGCGGATGCCGCGCTCGAGTCCAAAGAACTTGCCGAAAGAGCATCCCAGGCAGTCGAGTTCTGATTCTAGTAAGCCGGAATTTTTCGTGCCACCCCCACCTACAGTTTCGCCTTTATCGCCTAACACAGAAGAGTCACTTTTGTCTGACGAAGACGACAGACGACAGGATCAAGTGTATTCAAACGATCCAGAACCTTCGAAGTGCTTAGGACCCGATTCACAGTACGAAGCGGTTAGGGAGGAAAAGGATGAGATTTTAAAGACAAACCACCACCATTGCTATAGTGACACGAACACCATGGACTCGGGATGGCAGAGTGGATCAGAGAAGCAGGTGACTGATTGAGTTGTTTATGGTCAGATCATGTGTTCCATATATTTAGGTAACTGTGAATATGCTGTAATTGATGAAACTCGTGTTTGTTTGTAGATTCAGATGAAAGGTAGTGATATAAATAAGCTATAATTATAGTATTAATTAATAAGGAGTTATTTTTTTTTTCATATATTTGCCTAGAAAATTTTTTTGGTCGTCTCATAAATAAGTGCTCTCTATTTTAGTTACAATTTAGGACTCGAATTATTCAATTTGTGATTAAAAAATACTCAATTTTTTTTTAATATGGTAACACAAGAGGGTAACATGATTGTGAATACTACGCGAATTAATAAAAACTTTCATAGATTTTATTATTAAAAGTGACTATTTAATTTGGTTTTTAAAAAAAGGATTTTCTTTTTAATATTTAGACATGTATACAAAATTTCGTTTCTTCAAACTTTATTTTTCAATTTATAATCACGACAACTATGTTGCACAAATAAAATTAATATAGGATATATACTCAAATTACAATTTACAATTAGCCCGAAGGTAAGCAAGCTGAAGTGGCAATGGGCTGGTTACATAGCTCGAAGAACCGACAACCGATGCGGAAGAAAGATTTTCGAGTGGCGACTCTGTACGGGCAAACCTTTTTCTTTGAATAATATAATCAAATTACAAAAAAAAACTTTTTCTCGAAAAATGAAACATACCAGTATTTTAAAAAAAAAACAGTAATTTTTTTTTAAACCAGAACACTATATTTTTTTTTATAATTTTATTTATTTAAAGAAATGTAGTAGTAACGTTTTTATTAAATAATTAACTTTTTTTTTTTTATAATAATCGAGAACTTTATATTAGAAATTAGGACACTGTGTCCCTTCCAAATGTATTGTGAACATGTAATGTATTGTGCCAATTAGGAAAACTTAGACATATTTGTAAAAAGTGACCAAAATTGTTTTGTTTGATAGTCATTGGGATGAAAACATTAAAATACACAATAATCATCCTTGAAACTAAGTACTTAAAAGAAAAATTTGGCTGACATTATTTCAAGAACTACTTACCCAAAAATTTTTGTTTTTTTTTTTAATAGAAATGTAATAAATGACGATTTTTTTCACGAAAATGTGTTTAGAGGTAAATAAGTTATTATCAGAGAGTCTACCATGATATGAAATTGCAAATTTTTGGAGTCAATTTCGATCTTTTGTTCATCCGAAATCGGCCCAGTAAATGGAGCTTAACATTTTGTTCTTTATAAATTCTACCAAGTCTAAAGTCATTTTAACATTTTTAATAGTTATAAACGGTATGTATTATATAATTTTAATATCAAATTTGTATTTCGTTCGGTTCCGAAATTTCGGAAAATATTTCATGGTAGGCCCTCTGGTATTGTTATAATAACAAAAAAGAATTGAAATTACATTAAAATTATTACAATAAAATGCACAACGTTAGTTTTCCTAATTTTTTTTTCTTAGGAAAAATGTAAAGAAAATTTTTGAATAAAAAATAGCATGGTAGAAGTAGATAGAGTAATACGACTTTTATCCTATTCGATTTATATAAAATCGAAGGAATAACAGTTTACTATCCATCTGAATATTTTTGTGTACCTACTCTTTTAGTAGAATTTTTTCTCAATTTGTTGGCAACCCAACACAGAATTTATTGTAATGGCAACTGTGCCCTCGCTCATTCTTCTAAAAAAATCTGAACTCTTTGCACGTGTCTCGACAATAAATCACGTAATTAAAAATCTGTCAATCTTACATATTATACAAATAATTTTGTGATCGTTCCCATAACAGAAATACCAAATAAGCACATTTTTTTCCATAATTCACTGAATAATTATTTGTTTTTATTTTTAAAAATAAATAACAATACTATAGTTCTAATTAATTTTGACCTTAGATTATGTAGATGGAGTGTCTCCATACAAATGCTTCGTGAAAAGTGAGTCAACTGTTTCACACAATTTTGCGTGATAAATAGTTATGAGTGATTCCTTTATAACTTTTATACTTATTTTGTCTTATAAATTCTGCATCTTTTTAATGCACAAAAACTCATTTTATTTATTAAATAATTAAATATAGATACGTCAAGATACATTGTGTACGTAAGTATATAGAACACTGATAAAAACAACGAGTCAGTTAATTTGACAATTGGCTGACAAAAAGTTGACCCGTTTTTGAGGCTCGACGCTCTATCTATATAATCTAAGATTTTGGCATTTTAAATACTTTATTGGGATTAAATTAATTAGTTTTAGCACATTTAGTTATTTGCTATTATCCATACAGTAATAATATCTGCGAGTTATATTTTAAAACCACGTCATCATTTAAGGCCAGATGAGATTATGGTCCAATGCGCTCAAATTTAATAAAAAAAAAGAAATCTATGATTAGGGCCGTCAACACGATCATTCTTAACAGGCCCTCTAGACAAGTGACAAGTGAATTCGACAATGGAATCGACATCGCTAGCGAGTCCGTAAGTACTGTCTACCATCGTACGGCTCGCCATCGACAGGAAGTTCATCCCCGTGTCCTACAGCCTCAATGGTCGCGTACTGCGCGGTTTCAGAGATGTTTCCTCCCACGAACACTCAGGTTGTGGAATGAGCTCCCTGCCGAGGTTGTCCCAAGAGACTACAGCATGGGGTTCTTCAAAAGGGGGGTAAAGAGGTTTCTTCAGGGTCGGCAACGCACGCGTAATGCCTCTGGTATTGCAGGCGTTCATAGGCTACGGTAACCGCTTACCATCAGGTGGGCCGTTTGCTTGTTTGCCACCTCAGTGGTATCTCATTCTGTCTCACGGACTCGCTAACGATGTCGATTCCATCGACGAATTCGTTTGCCATTTGTCTAGAGGGTCAGACCTAAAAACGAAGGTACTTCTCAATTTAGTTGTACATTTTTATGTTTGTTACCTCATAACTCTGTCAGTTCAAAACTGACTTCATAATTTTTTTATCTGAAAGTATATACTTACATATTATATCTATATATATATATATATATATATATATATATATATATATATATATATATATATATATATATAAAAAATATATATATATATATATAAAAAAAAAAATGTTCCCGATTTGTGTAACTTAGTTCCTTTTTCTTCCATTTCAAGTGTTTTGTAAATATTAAACGTAATACATGTAATTTTTTTTTTTTAATATTAAGACAAATTACTTATCTGTAGAAATACCAACGTGGGTGCTTCGTATTCAAGTTTTAAAATGTTTTCCTAAGTTCAATATAGTCATGGGTAATATGGATACCGATCCGATATACATATATATATATATATATATATTGAAGCCGTATTGATATTACCCATGCTCTAGTTAAACATTTTTTTAAACTGTTTTTTTTTTTGAGAAAAATAGTTTTACACGATATAATGTAAACATTCTTATTTCTGTATGTTGCCAATTGGATTAGTTTTTTCCAATTATGTATATTGTTAGATTACCAGGGTCTGAACCATAAACTCTTGTAGCAGGCTACATTCGACGTTATAGTTTATTTGTGAAAAATTGAATTTGAATTCTATTTCGAATCGTTAAGAGCGCAATTTCAATGTCGGATGTGTATAAATAAAGAGGATATTGCTAAAAGAGTTTATAGTAATTCTCCCAGTTATTAATAATGGTTCTATTAAAAGACTGAAATCTGAATGAGTTTTATTATTTATTAGATTTTTGCCCGCTTCTTGCCATTCATGGACTCAGGTGTTTTTTTTATTAATGATAAGGGAATAGTAACCCCACCCTTCTATCGGTATACACGGCGCGGCACCAGACAAGTATGATAGGTGAAGATGAAGTAGACAGATAGCCCATCGTGACGAATTCAACAAGAATTGTTCACGATGGTTTCCAGGGGGAACCACATGGAGGTACATAATACATATTGCTAGCAATGGGGTTTGTAAACTCCATTGCTAACAATCCCTTTCGCCCCGGACTCAGGTGTTATTCCTCTGTACCCTGTAAATTCACGCCATATCCCACCCTTCAACCCGATACACAGCCATGCAAATACAACTGCTTCACGGTAGAAACACGAATGGGATAGAGGTGGCCAAGCAAACGACTTCTATACCAAGTCTGTAATAAATATCATTTTATTAAAGTCCTAAATATATGTTCCCTTATAAATAAATCGCCTTGTGTGTCGGGGCACATGTCACAAATGGGAACGGGACAGAGATGCTCAAACAAACGAGTTTTGTACTAACTCTCCCTCTGGTAAAATATAAGATAAGTCTTAAGGTTTTAAGTTAGACCTTTATAACTGTGTTAACCGCATTCAATTTGGCGCAGTACTTTTTTCTCTAAATAGACCTAATAGACATAGAGTGAGAGATGGACAGTCAAATTTCTCAAAAAAATATTGTTTTGGCTTCCATTGTGCTTATTCGTCTACTAAACTTCATTCAAACCTTTTTAGAAAAGGAAGAAATGTGTTTATTAATTTATAAATGCATAAACCGCCGTGTGGCATAGAATGGGTCGCCCCTGCCTTTCTCGTGGGTGTCGTTATAGGCGACTAAGGGAACTTAATTTTTGTTGCATCAGCCGTTACCTGTCCACTGCTGAACATTATAAGGTGGGTTTTTCCAGTATTTGGTCACGCTTAGCAACCGCAGTTTTTTTATGGGTGAAAATGGTATAGTAACCCCGCCTGCGTTAACGGGATACGCTGCCGGAGCACTACTGAAGGGTGATAGATGAGAATAAAAACAGGCCAGTTAGCCCATCATGATGAATTCATCAGGAATTAACCATGATAGTTTCCAGGGGGAACCGCGAGGAGGTCGACCTGGTTGGGTATATTGCTAGCAATGTTATTCTCAGTCTCCATTACTAACAATCCGATTCTCCCCTGGCAACCGTAGTTTGGCTTTTGGTGATGTTTTAAGAGGGACGTTGCTACCCATTCCTCGACCATTGATTTCCGTTAGTCGCCTTTTACGACATCCACGAGAAAGAAAAAGGCCCTTTCTATGCCAAGATTACACTGCATTATCGATTACAGCGGACGCTCTATAAAAGCAACCTGTCTATAAGCAACATTCTTTATATTTTATTTATTCTACTCAGCTTAGTTAGTAAAAGAAATAAGTAAAAATATTTTCCACACGGTAAGTATTTTTATACTCCTTTTTTTCCTATAAAAAATTTTTCCCAATAAGATTTTTTTTCATTGAAATTAGTTCAAATAAGTTGCTTATATAGAGCGTTTACTGTAGTATAATAAAAAAAAAAATAGAAAAATTAAAATAAAATTATTAATAATAAAAAAAAACTAAGTCGCACAATTTGTATCCGTGGACAGAAAAGTTCTCTTCCTTCCACGTCTATAATGTAGGATTTTATTGCTCAATAAAACGACACATTTAGTTTGGTATATTTTTTTTTTATTAAATTTATGTTTTTTATTTATTATCTTTGCAATTTAATATTTTAGTAAAAAAAAATTCTCAGTATTTCTCAGCATTCAGCGTTAGGTAATTAATGTATTAAATTTATCAACTACAATTTTTAGGTGGCAGTTTAAATAAATCATAAATTCAGACAAAAAATATTGTAAATACATTATAATATATTTATATCTTAAGTACATACATATAAAATACCATCTAGGTAGCAAGGTGACGTCTGCGACTCAAATAAGGCGTAATTTTTACGTCATTTTATTGTTGGTACAATATTCGCAGAATACGTACCTCACACTGACTTTAGGGTTAACCGTAAAGACGACAGACGTCTTGGATAGGTCAGAAATACGTCGTATTGTAACACTGTGAGGTTACGACAAGTCTCTTACGTCGAGAATGACTAAAAATGGACATCAATATAACGAATAATTACAACCTGGGAAGTGTAAATAGCTATATCTACATTATTACAATATGCATATCCAGCTGGGCCATAATTGTTGCCAATTTTGTTAGGTTAAAACTCATATTTCAATAAATATCTAAGTACAGTTTTAATCAGATAAGCCAAGATTCATGCTTGAATATTCAATAATTTAAAAAGTTAATTTATTAATAAAATAATTTCATAGGTACTTTAAAGAAAAAACTAGTAAGTACTCAAGTAAATTAAAAACAAAAATGTAGTAACCCTGGCTTCTATATGAATTATTAATAAGACTAGTGATTTTAAAACGCGTAAATATATCTTATTTATTCCTGATTTATATCGGAAAAAAAAATTAAATAGATTGGTACATTTATTGTTTTAATAATTTAACACATACTTTTTGTGTCACTAAATCTAGATACTAACTAGGTTTAAAATAAAAAAAAAGTTAATACGTAATACACGGTCAATTTCTTATAATACTTACGTATAAAAAAAAAAGTTTTGGCGGGAAACATTTGAGTTGGTCTATATTTTTCTCTTGTTATTATTGTTGTGTTGCGAAAAATTGTTCCATAATCTGTATTGTATTTATGGTTTGACTAAAATGTGTTTGCAAATTCTATATTTTTCCACCTACCTATATTTTTTTTAGGTTTAGTGTAAGGAACAGGCTAAGAACAATGACCACGCTGCCTAGTATTCAGTTTTGATTTAGATGTTACAGATAATCGAACGATATTAATGTTTGCACTTTCTTATTATTTATTTTGTTTATTTCAATGTCTAATTTAAATTTAATTAGTGAATTTTTAGACAGTTTTATTCTTTAGTTGAACATTTTTAATTTGATTTCGTAAAATACTTTATCCATTCGACTTCAGTTCTTAGCTCTCTTTTTTTTTATTAGTAATGAAAAGGCGTATATATTGATAACAAAGGCATTATTTTTTTTTTAAATACATAAATCATTCGTACATAGGTAGGTACTTACATAATATTTGCAAACACATAGTGCGCATTGTAAATATTTACAGTTATATTTTAAGCAGTTATTAAGACGGGTCAAGATCATAGTTATAGCTCTTATCTATTATTAATCGCTTAAACTAAGGTTACTTTAATAAAATCACTTTTCCTTACATACTAAAAATAAGATCGAAAAAGGACGGTAAATTTGTAAAAAAAAAAGTTGAAAATGGACAATATTCAAGTAATTTATGTAGAAAAAAGATGAGCTATTGTCAAATCAACTATTTTTTTTTGTTTTTTTCTTAGTATTCGAACTTTAAAATAGAATACCATATTTAAAATTATGAAAAGAATATGTTTTTTTTTTTATTTCTATTTTTAATTATACGGTATTGCGAATTTGTTATGCTTGATTTGACAATTACTTCATTGTCCGGTATTTTCAATGCTTCGTATTTTATAGAAACCTTCAGACCCAATTAAAAAAGTCGGACAATCCACTCAATTTCTGAGTGGAACTTCCGAGTTTCATCAAGTACATTCAACTTGGAATAAATTTAATAATAATATAATTTTTATGAAGTGAAATTCTGCGTTAGGTTTAATAGCCAAGCTTTAAGACCAAAGCTGGTATAGATTGAATTTTATTATACAACGATTGTCAACAATTCGACAATCAGACATGCGTCCCGCCTGATAGCAACCGGTTAACGTTGCCTATAAACGCTTACTGCTAAGTACCTGTATTCTATAGAAAAGTTTTTAACACCACTTTGATATATTTTTTTATATATTCATATTTTAGATTATACTAGCGGCCTGTCCCGGTTTCGCACGGGTGGACATTATTACAGCATTTTAAAAAGCGGTTATTGTGACATAACGATAATAGTTGAACAAACAGTATCACGAAGTTTTTTGTAGTTATTGATATTTTCTTCAATATTGAAGAACATACTTTTGTTCTATCACCAATAGTTTCCGCAGCGCACGCGACCAAAGATATTTTATAGCATTGTATTCACACCTTGAGTTACGTTACTAAAGTTTTAGTAAGGATCCCTAATCTTTTCTAGCCGTAAATAAAGCCTATGTTACTCAGGGTGAATGTAGCTTTCTAATGGTGAAAGAATTTTTGAAATTAGCAAAGGAGTTTTTGAGTTTATTCACTACAAACATACATACACACAAAAATACAAATCTTTCCTCTTTATAATATTAGTGTAGATGTAGGTAGATAGAGCAGCGCGCCTCAAAAACGGGACAACATTTTGTCAGCTAATTGTCAAATTAGCCCATTTCCCATCAAGCAGGCCGTCAGCTTATGTTTCACTTCAAGTTGCAGACAATCCAAGTTGGTTGTACAAAATTACGAGATCTTTTTATTAAAACACAAAAATTGTTAGTTATTTGAAAAATGTCAGCAGTACACTTAAAGCTAGTAGGGTACAATGTAAATTGAATACGTTAGCGCTGGAAAGCGCTGGAACTGATGGCGGGTCTTGGGACAGCGTTTTTTTGTCCTGCGACCACTCGGAGATGCTTGCCGGTGTGCCGTCCTGATCTCCCAGTAGCTGGTTCGCGATCTTCAGGTTCTTCAGGTGGGTGAGGAAGTCCTCTGCAATTTAAAACACAAGTTGCAATGGAATTAGAATGAAGTAAGATTACTGTAATATATTTCAAGTTTAGTTAAATGTCAAGGGAACACTCTTTAAATGCCTTGTGGTCCCGGCATAGAATGGACCACCCCTTCCTTTCCCGTGGGTGTCGGAAGAGGCGACTAAGGGAACTGTTGAGTTCCATTAGTTTCTTACTGCGGTTGCTAATCCGTCTGCCAGGGGGAAAGGGATTGTTAGTAATGTGGACTAACCTATTGCTAACAAGCCCTGTCAGGTCGACCTCCACGCGGTTCCTCTACACCATTGTGATTAATATTTGTTGTATTTGTCATGATGAACTAACTGACTAACTTTCATGCTCATTTATCATCCTTCACTGGTGGCCTGCTAGCGTATACCGATAGCGCAGGCGGGGTTACCATTACATTATTCAATAAAAAAAAAAACCGCTTGCCAAACGTGGCAGCTACTGCCAAAATTCTCTATTGTAGTTAATGACTCATATAATTATATTATAAAGTGTTTAAATGAAATTAGAAACAAAGGTTATGTCCATGGTACCGCTCATGTTTATAGGTGACGGTTACCACTTTCCGTCAGGTGGGCCGTCAGCTTGTTTGCCATTCCAGTTATTTTTTGGTGAAATGCAATATTAAGTTGTATTTCCAAAATCCACGCAGTCGATGGAAAAAGTTAGTCCGAAATAGGCGTATTGAATTACTGACCAGCCTCCTTCTCCCCACCGTTGGAGTCCACCTTGATGAAGGTGGTGAGGGAGACTTCATACACTTTGTTGGAGATACTGTCTGATGAGATGGACCTCCGTCTCCTGCCGTAGCCGGTTGCGCCGTTCGTGCATTGCACCTGGAGGGCAAATTAACAGTTTGTTAAGAGTTTAAAAGACGAAAAAAATAATACCTTCTGTGCCGTCCGACGGCACAGAAGGTATTATTTTTTTCGACAACCTGCAAAAAAGGACTAATTTCTCAATTTGCTTATAGTTTTTACGTTTGTCACCTCGTATTTTTTTTATAAACCGATTTAATAGATGCTTTTTTTGACCCCCATTGCTAGCAATATTTATATATTTGTTTTATCAACTAAGTGGGCTTTACAGTCTCCCATTACGCTCACCCAGGAAAGCATCAGTAAAATAACACATGTATTATATAATTAAATGAAATTATATTATTAAATTTAAATTACAACATAATAATAATAGAAATAACATCTATATCTCTGAACACAGATGGCAGTGAATTTACAGGATCTTTGTATCCTATAAATTCTTAGTTACCTCTGTCCCATTCGTGTTTCAACCGTGAAGCAGTTGTGTTTGCATGGCTGTGTTTCGGTTTGAAGAGTGGAATATAGTGTGAATTTACAGGGTACAGAGGAATAACATCCGAGTCCTCAGGAATAACAACGTATGGAGAGTATCATGGGCGAAACAGTATACTCTGTTATGTCCATGGTACTGCTCATGTCTATAGGCGACGGTTACCACTTTCCATCAAGTGGGCCGTCAGCTTGTTTGCCATTCCAAGTTGCATAAAAAACATATCCCAATAGGTCTTCCAAACGGTCCTGGAAACCGTCTATAATTTAATTGTGATGGGACAATAGACCTGCTTTCATATTGTTCTACCTTCTAATAATAAATAAATAAATAAATATCTTCCCTCACTGGTACTTAGCCAGCCTATCACTGCAGGCGGGTCTACCATTTTATTATGAAATAAAAAAATAAAAACTTACTCCTTGGCATTTATCAAGGCATACGCTGACTGTCCCTTTGAATTGCACGTAAGTGGTGTCAGGAAACTTGAAGGCTCTGAACTTAGCTGCGAGCAGATCACCGTCAGTGGTCACGAAGTTATCGAAGAGGTAGGGATCCACTGAACAGCTGGTCACACAAGTAAACAAGCAGATTAAAACATACCCTATTTTTTCGAGGAAAACGACGGTTACAGATATGGCAAATGGCTTTTTTTTTTGATGTGTGAAAATGGTATGGTAACCCCGCCTGCGCTAACGGTATACGCTGGCGGAGCACCAGTGAAGGGTGATAGATGAGAATGAAAACAAGCCAGTTAGCCCATCATGATGAATTCATCAGTAATTAACCATGATAGTTTTCAGGGAGAACCGCGAGGAGGTCGACCTGGTTGGGTATATTGCTAGCAATGGGATTCTCAGTCTCCATTTCTAACAATCCCTTTCCCCCCGGCAATCGGCGTTTGATATTTGAATTAATCCCAGGTAGCAATTATTCGTCATATTTTTTTGTAATGGATGATAATGGAATGATGACCCCGCCTTTGCTATCGGTATACACTGGCGGGGCATCAGTGAGGGATGATTGGTGAGGATGAAAAGGCAGGTCAGTTAGCCCATCGTGACGAATTCAACAATAAATTAGTCACGATGGTTTCCAGGAAGAACCGCGTGGAGGTCGACCTGGTAGGGTATATTGGTAGCAAGGAGGACTAACCTCCTCATTACTAATAATCCTTCCCCCCTTATTTCAGTCACCGACCATAAAATGATTTAATACTGACGTCTTATGTGAGTCGTAGACGTCATTTGGGATATTATACCTGGGATATTATAAAGAGGAAAGGTTTGGTTTTTTGTATGTTTATTAATAATGAATAAATTAAAAAAACTGCTCAACCGATTTTAAGTATTCTTTCATCTATAGAAAGCTACATTATTAGCGAGTAAGATAGACTGTATATTATTAAAAAAAAATAAAGATCGCTATGAAAATTATAATAATGCAACTTAAAGTATCAAAAATTTGCTAACTGGCAGACTTATACCTGACAATTATTACAGCACTTTTTTAAATTATATTATATTAATATTTGTATTGTATTTATATATACCAACGTAATACTAAAGGGAGACTTTGTACAAAAGTCGTTTGCTTGGGCACCTCTGTCCCATTTGTGTTTCTATCGTAAAGCAGTTGTGTTTGCATGGCTGTGTTTCGGTTTGAAGGGTGGGATATGGCAGTGAATTTACAAGGCACAGAGGAATAATACCTGAGTCCTCAGTAATGGCAACGCATGGGGGGTATCATGGGCAAAACAGTATACTCTGTTATGTCCATGGTACTGCTAATGTCTATAGGCGACGGCTACCATTTTCCATTAAGTGGGCCGTCAGCTTGTTTGCCATTCTAAGTTACATAAAAAAAAACTTAACACACGTAATCCAGAGAGTTTAGTATTGGATTGTATCCCTCGAACTTTGATACTTTATAAATGGCACTGCTATGTAAAAAAAAAAATTATAACAAACTTCCTGAATTAATTAAGCAATGCCCCATAAAACAATATTAATGACTGTAACCTGTGTTTTTCTAAAAAAATTTTTTATTACCTTCTGAGCATTATTATTGACAATGTTGCTGTAGTTTTCAATAGTATTTGTTTGTTTAATTTTGTTTATATTTGTTTAATTTTGTTTATATTTATTTAATTTTGTTTAATTTAGTATTGTCTAATTTTGTGTTTCGTTTACTTGTATTTTATTTTGTGCAAATTCTAGTGGCTACCAAATTACTATTTAAGTATATAATTATGTATTATTTTAGCTGCTTGTTTGCCTTAAATAAATAAATAAACCTAAGATTATTGGCCACTTACCCATTCAGTATTATAGTCTCCTGTTGTTTTCCAGTATCTGTCACGTGCATATAACTGACGAGTAGTCCGTAAACCGGCGCTGACATCTCGTCCAGGAAGATCTCCATGGACAACGGAGTGCCTGGACTTACCGAGATCTCTCCGGAGACTCTGAAAAGAATTAATTTGGGCAATGAATTTTTAACGCTTATTAATGTGTTATGAAATTGTTGAATACGGTTTTTTTTAATGGGTGATAAGGGAATGGTAACCCCACCCGCGCTATCGGTATACACCGGCGGGGCACCAGTGACAGATGAAAGGTGAGGAGGAAGGAGGTCAGTTAGCCCACCGTGACGAATTCAATAAGAATTGTTCACGATGGTTTCCAGGGGGAACCACGTGGAGGTCGACATAATAGGGTATATTGCTAGCAATGGGGCTGTTAAACTCCATTGCTAACAATCCCTTTCCTCCCCTGTTGAATATGGTTTATAAAGGGTATTTTATGGGATGGTAATGGAATAGTTATTTCGCCTGCACGATAACATGCTTTCAGGTTACCAATGAAGGGTAATAGGTTCGGATGAAGTCAAGTCAATTGGTTGATCATGACAAAGTCATCAAGCACTAACCACGATGGTTTCCTAGATGTCTCACATTGTTACTTTAAAATTAATTGTTAATTTAACAGGATATATTGCAAGCAACGCAATGTAGAACTAATTAGATGAAGTGACAATCTCAAATGCATTGCAGGGAGTCTGTGGATGTAGGTAGCTCGGGACCGGCATAGCAGTCTATGGGGGAGGCCTACGTCCAGCAGTGGACAGGTAACGGATGAAATAGTGATGATGATTGCTAGCAAATGGATTGTTAGACTCATTACTAGCAATCCCTCCTCTTCTCTACAAAAGGGTTGACAGAGTATCGAATTAAAGGGGTTATAAGTAGGGGTTAGCATTTTGCTTCTCTATATTCTTGGTCTTGTAGATAAGCTAGCCCAATTAGCAATAGAATAGCTTGCTAAAATAGGATTGTACCTTCTTTGCAGTGAAGGTAATTTTTAATAGCAAATGCTTTTACATTTCCCACCAAGCTATTAAAATTTTGTCACCCCTATTGACCCCGGCAATACTACTGTATTTATCATTAACATTGTAAACTAGGGTACCTACTCCAAGTTTACAATGTCATTAATTAAAATTTTTATATCTACGTTATTTTTGTTTTTTTTTTTTTTTATTTCGTTGGTACGAAATTGTAAAAAAAAATTGGTTCAAATTTACTGCATCTTAGGGATCAGTTTAGGAAGCCAGCTGGTGAAATCACTCCTTTGTGATTAGGTTTGGTTGATCATAAATGTTTATGAGGTATATTTCTTCATTTAATTTCTGCTTTACTATAACTACAACACTATTATTACTATACATACGTCGTGTGGTCCCGGCATTGAACGGACCATCCCTTCTTTTCCTGTAGGTGTCGTAAGAGGCGATTAAGGTAACTTAATGTTAGAGGAATGGGCAGCAACGAACCTTTTAAAATAACTAAAGCCTAATTGCGTTTGCCAACCCGCCTGCCAAGCGTTTTTGCCAAGCACTGGCAAAACTCCCCTTATGAGGTAGGCCTATATTAAGCAATAGACAATTAATACCTGATTTAACAATATACCTACATGGAACCCTTGGATCCAAAGTCTAAATAAATTACTTACTGTTTACCATTCTCCTTCACAATAGCACCCAGAACTGGTTCAGGGGCATGGCCTTCTTCGTATCGTGTGATGTTCAGGACACTGCAACAAGTACATTAGTTAATGAAAGAGTAAGACTTCGAGGAAGTTGGAATGGATGGGAAAAGATTTCCTCAAATCAGAATACCAAATTAGCTGACGGTCCACTTTATGGAAAGTGGTAACCGTCGCCTATAGACATGAGCAGTACCATGGACATAACAGAGTATACTGTTTCGCCCATGATACCCTCCATGCGTTGCCATTCCTGAGGACTCAGATGTTATTTCTCTGTACCCAGTAAATTCACGCCATATCCCACCCTTCAAACTGAAACACAGCTATGCAAACACAAGTGCTTCACGGTTGAAACCCCAATTGGGCTGAGGTACCCAAGCAATCGACTTTTGTATAAGTCTCTCTCTCTCTCTAGATATTCTTTTTAATAAGTGCTACATAATCATACAATCGCTTGGTTTCTCCTGGAACCTCACAACAAAGACTATAGGACACTCTTTGTTATGAGGATCCAGGCAATAAAAATCTAGCGGCACAACCTAAAACAGACCTGAGCCAATTAAGAAAAGCTCATTTCCTAAATGAGCCCAACTGAGAATCGACCTCATTCACACAAAGCAACTTATCCACCATTACGTTACAAAGGTTAGAGGAGTGTCAACTCATGTTTACTCACTCTGGCTCATTGAAGTCCAGGGGGAATCCCTCAGCAGCTCTACGCGAGATGGCGCGCAGTTTGTTCGCAACCACGCACCTAACTGTCACCGTCTCTCTACCACCGATGGCGTCTTCTATCACGATTTTGTGGTAGAATGTGCGTTTACCCTGCAATAAAGAGTTAATTTACATAAAGACTAACTTGTTATAAGATACTAGCTTTTAATCACGACTTTGTTTATGCTTTTTCATTCCATATAAGTAGCAAGTGTATATCAAATTTTGTAGTCATCGGTTAAGACTTTATAGCGCTAAGAGGTAAACGACCTGTCCTTCTAGATAACTGGCAAACGGATCTACCCATAGATACATTATCATTTAACACAAACACGAGATGGAACAGGACACTGGATGTTGCTATCCCGTTTTCTCTCATAAATGCGATAGTGATGACGTATCTTTAGATAGATTAGTTTCCCTCTCCTTTAAAGGGCTGATAGATGGATAGATAGCCACAAGTGATCAAACTAGAGGGAGACTTTGTACAAAAGTCGATTGCTTGGGTACCTCTGTCCCATTCGTGTTTCTACCGTGAAGCAGTTGTGTTTGCACGGCTGTGTTTCGGTTTGAAGGGTAGGATATGGTGTGAATTTACTGGGTACAGAGGAATAACACCTGAGTCCTCAGGAATGGCAACGCATGGGGGGTATCATGGGCGAAACAGTATACTCTGTTATGTCCATGCTACTACTCATGTCTATAGGCGACGGTTATCACTTTCCATCAGGTGGGCCGTCAGCTTGTTTGCCATTCTAAGTTGTATAAAAAAAAAAAAAAACTAATGGCCTGGAATAGTCTGCAAGTTTCAATACATCATCAATCAGTTACAATCATCATCTTTTCAGCCATTATCTTTCACTGCTGTATATAAGCTTCCCCTATAGATTGCCATAAGGAATGGTCCTGAACCACCTGCATCCACTGACTCCATGCAATGCATTTGAGGTCGTCACTCCATCTAGTGTTTAGTCACTTATCCTTAGTCATTCCATCTTAGAGTTTCTGTTGGTGTGCTGTTAAGTATATCTATGTTATGTATATATTTAATTGTGTATATATTATATATGTGTATGTTTTTTGTTGATGGGTGAAAATGGTATGGTAACTCCGCCTGCGCTAACGGGATACGCTGGCGGAGCACCAGTGTAGGGTGATAGATGAGAATGAAAACAGGCCAGTTAGCCCGTCATGATGAATTCATCAGGAATTAATCATGATAGTTTCCAGGGAGAACCGCGAGGAGGTCGACGTGGTTGGGTATATTGCTAGCAATAGGATTCTCAGTCTCCATTACTAACAATCCCCTTTCCCCCCTATGTATATATGTTTGTATATGATAATATTTATATAATAGTGCGCCAACTATCCTTTGTCTTTTACTCAATGCCCTCTAAGGTTGTCTGGAAGAGATTGCTTAGCGATAAGGCCGCCTTTTGTATCACTTCATTAATATTCACTGTATTTGTTATTTCTCTTTTTACTTGGTGCAATAAAGTGTAAATAAATAAAATAATCTTATACTACTCAGACTTCTACCTCCTTCAATACTCACTGTAATTTTATTAAGCACTCTGGTGACTCCACATTTGTGCGGATCCTGAAGGTCTAACATGAATGTCGCCTTCCCATCGTCCAGCACCGGTTTGCAGGGCTGGTAATCTGCAAGTTGACAAGATTATTATGTAGTTACTGATATAAAGTTACCTTTTTAAAGGCCCATTGTTATTTTTTTTTTTGATGGGTGAAAATCGATTGGTAACCCCGCATGCGCTATCGGTACATGCTGGTAGGGAACCGAAGAGGGATGATAGAGAGAAGTGAAGCCAATTGGCCCATTGTGACTGATTTAGCAGGAATTAATCAAGATGGTTTCCAAAGGGAACCGCGTAGTACCTGACAGGATACATCTTTAGTTTTTTTTTTTAGAATTTTTTTCATTTATTCAAATAAACTTACATTGAAGCACTTTTGAATAGACATTTTTTTTAAACAGCTGTCTCATCACAAGAAGAACGAAGAACGACAAGTCCCTCTTTTAAATATTATTATTATTATTTTACATTTTTAAGTTTAAGTGTGTGAATTAGCACTAATTCAATTAAATACTCAAAAAGAAAAAATATTGAATACGCCTATAGACAATTAATGAGTAGTACGTTGGACATAACAGAGTTATATTGTTTCGCTCGACCATATGATGACCCGGCCCACCACGCCGCCACAAGTTGACCATTCCACGAGGACTGATAGTTATAGTATTCACATTTTACATAAGAATGTTATTTCCAATATACGTTGTACCCTGTAAATTCACCGTCGCCTATAGACAGTTTTGTGGACTGAAATATATTCTCGTACTAACAATATTTTCCCACCTCCAATCAGTGACATAAGCCTCCTTCAGATCTGTCTTTTAATAAGTTTATAACTGTTATTAAAAAACATTTATTAAACAAAGCCTATTACACACTAAACGATAACTTGAATCACAAAAGTGCATGGTGTTAATCGATCATGCACGGGTTTTTAACGACCATGTAATTTTAGACATAGTACATTTAAATAAATTCATATAATGTTAACAGATTTAAAAGTGTAACTGTTGAGTTTCTTGCGGACTCTTCTCAACAGACAACAACTTTCCGAACACTGCAGTAGATTAAAAAATGACGATTTAATCTTTTTTTTGCATGATGGTGGAAATTTCCATCATAACATTAAATGCCCAAAAATTATATAAAAGAACAAGTTCACTTTAATTTGATCGTGTCTGGATACCTTTTTAATGTCCACTGCAGAAAAAAAAAAACATAGCTGTCAAATTTACTTTTTTAACCATTGTTCCTTTAATTTTGAACATGAATTATATCACCTTGATCTATTTCACCAATAAAAAAAAACATGCAAAGAAGAATTAAAGGTGCTTGTAAATAAGTCTATTTGGATAAAGATAAAAAAAAAGAAGATAGATCAGCGGGGTTCCTCGCAACGAGGATATTTGGAAAGATTTGAATTAAGTGGTAATTGTGACGAGTGGTCGTGGTGATTCGAGGCGCTAAATCAAAAACCGGTCGTGATATATTTCCAACGTTAGCGGCCTATTGATCTGTCCATCTGTAAAGTAATACATTGTTGCAGCTGTCTCAGATTTGTGTTTGCATTTGAGAGGCAGAAGCGGGAAATGTTTTTTTTTTTTAAATTCGTAACAACTTAAAGTCGAATGACAAAATGATTTTTTTTTACTGAAAATGCGACATTATTGGATTCCTTTGTTTTTTTTTTTATTCTTGTATATATGTTTGCGAATTTGTATACCTCGATAGATGAGGAATAAATGCCGCCATTAAATAAGCATTCCTCTGATATGGGGCAGCAGCCATATCAGTACTGGTAGAAGGCCGAAGAAGAGACATCTGGAAGGGCTTCTAGTCAGCGATCAGAGGGCGAAATATCGGTCTTTGAACTGCGGTGCAGAAAGCAAGACGGAAAACTATTGCACTATAATCCCATAAGTGGCAACTAATGAATTAGTTGCACCGACAAGAGGAAACTCTTAAATGAAAAGAAAAGAAGATAGACGAGGTTGATCATAGAGGACTTATCTTGTTTTAACATCCATTGTTACCTATGTAGCACAAAATAAATAAATAAACAAGTATACGTGGGGATTATTAATAGTGGGGACTAGGAACTTCATTGCTGGCAATATATCCTATAAGATCGACCTCCACGCGGTTTTCCCTTGAATGCATCATTATATCAGCTTTTAACTGTCCACTGCTGAACATAAGCCTCCCCCTTGGGGGGTTTTGCCAGTAGTTGCCGCGCTTGGCAGACGGATCGAGGACGAGTGGGCGGGCGCTTAACATCAAGCGCCTGCTCCATATTTGAGTTGGGGCCCGCAAGCTGGTACGGGCCAATGTCATTGGGACTCGGTGGACTACGAAAGGGAACCCGGGTCCCCAACATTATGGCGCGGCGAGGGATGCCGTGGTGGTTTTAGCCAGTAGGAGTCCGGCAGTACCCATACGCCTCCCCCGGGGCGTTTGGGTCTGCATGATGCACTTCCCCACGAATAAAAGAAAAATAAAGGCGGATCGGGGACCGCAGTTAGGCTTTGGAGATATTTTATAAGGGACGCTGCTGCATAACCTTATAAATTGCTCCCAAAGACATTTTATGAAAATTAGTTTAGTTCAGTTTAGTTTTTAAATCAAAAAACCTTTTTTTATCACAATTGAAGTCTATTTTTTTTGTGTATCTTTCACAGAAGTCTCAAAAAGAACTCCGTACGCGATGGCGTGAATTTACAGAGTACAGAGGAATAACACCTGAGTCCTCAGGAATGGCAACGCATGGGGGGTATCATGGCCGAAACAGTATACTCTGGTATGTTCACGGTGCTGCTCATGTCTATAGGCGACGGTTACCACTTTCCATCAGGTGGGCCGTCAGCTTGTTTGCCATTCTAAGTTGTATAAAAAAAAAAATCTTCTCACTTCTATTTTTGAATATCGAACTATTTTTTTTTAATTGATAATTGACACATAAGAAACGTGCAAATTAAACCGAGAATCGCTTCGTAATCGCTGTCGCTTCGCTTGTTACGTCACATGCGGCCGATAATAGTTTAGCCCGCGGCTCCGTCTGCACAATGCGATGGCCAATAAATCATTGCAGTTATACGAAACGTGACGTACCGTGTTTGGTGTTGAGAGAATTAGAAGTACCAGAACATTAATAAGATACTAGATTCTGTTGAGTTTAATATTTCCTCTTGGTATTAATAAATAAATAAATATTATAATATTAATATTACATTTTATTCATTAACTAGCTGCCCGTCCCGGCTTCGCACGGGTGGACATTTTTACAACATTTTAAAAACTTATTATTGTGACATAACGATAATAGTTGGACATATAGTGTCGCGAAGTTTTTTGTAGCTATTGATATTTTCTTCAATATTGCAGAACATACTTTTGTTCTATCACCAATATTTTCCGCAGCGCACGCGACCAAAGATATTTTATAGCATTTTTTTACACCTTGAGTTACGTTACTAAAGTTTTAGTAAGGACCCCTAATCGCTTCTAGCAATAAATATAGCCCATGTTACTCAGGGTACATTCACCTCAGTCTTCAGGAATGGCAACGCATGGGGGGTATCATGGGCGAAATAGTATACTCTGTTAAGTCCATGGTACAGCTCATGTCTATAAACGTTGTAAAAATTCCATGAAATACCAATTCATCTTTCTATCTATCTACGCGCACGAAGTCGGGTCGGATCGCTAGTGGTGCAATAAAGAACACACACATAAACGAAACCTGAAAACATTACCCTCCTTTTTTGGGCGATCGGGTAAGAACAAGTTAATACGTAAAATTGGCAAGTACAGTTTTAAAGAGTCCATTGTAACGATTCGCAGGCGACGGTTAGAGTTTAACAAGACAGATTACCGTTTGCCAATCTGTGAGAAAGTGGTGGGATTAGCAAATGAGAGCGTTCGCATACGATTATGTAGTGGCCAGGGCTGTCTATCTATCTATCCTATTTAAGTGCTGCGCTCTTGTCGGTGGAGCTCTTGCCGCTCACTACGATTTTCAGCGAGTCTCTTCACCTCTTGACACGACACGACACCAACTCCTTCCTCGATCTGCCTGATGTAACTATGTCTCGGTCTCCCTCTTCCCCTCCTTCCTTCTATCTTACCTTTTATTATAATGTTCATAAGTTCGTCGTGTCGTTTCAAGGTCAGGACAGCTGATTTTTATTACGAGTATTCATTATTTATTTATTTAAGAATAAATTGGTGGCAAACAAACTTATGGCCCACCTGATGGCAAGCGGTTACCGTAGCCTACAAACATCTGCAATACCAGAGGTATTACGCGCGCGTTGACGACCCTGAAGAAACCTCTTTACCCTTTTTTGAAGAACTCCATTTTTTTTATACATCTTAGAATGGCAAACAAGCTGACGGCCCATCTGATGAAAAGTTGTAACCGTCGCCTATAGACATGAGCAGTACCATGGACATAACAGAGTATACTGTTTCGTCCATGATACCCCCCATGCGTTGCCATTCCTGATTCAGCTAATTGTCAAATTAGCTGACTAAAAAAGTTGACCCGCCTTTGAGGCTCGACGCTCTATCTATATAATCTTAGTATATAACAATTCTTAGGGATATTTTTTTTTTTTCAAAAAAATCAGAGTGCCCTATCCAAAGTCGAACGAGTGGCAACCCTAGTTAAGTGGCAGAGATCATTCTGTTTTGTGTTACAGTCGGTCACAGTTGCAAAACCGAGTGCATTGTTATAAATACCACGTGTTTTTTAACAAGTGAACGGTTTGACATTGTTATGTACATACATATATGAGTACTGGGGACGCCCGTCCCCAGAAGCAGATTTTTACGGATGACTAATTTTTAGATCGGCATAAATGTTTTTTTCCATCTAAAAGCGTGGCAAATACTGTCCACAAATAGAGCGAGGACTATGTCCAGCAGTGGGCAGTTAACGGCTGGTATGACGATGAATATATAAGTTATATTGAAATGAAGAGGAGAAAAAAGAAGAACAAAAAGAAGGAAAGAAGAAGAAGAAAAAAAGAATATAAGTGTTCGTCTGGTAAAGGCTATATCAAAATGGAGCGTCACCCATTTTGATATATCAGAGGGAGATTTTGTATAAAAGTCATTTGCTTGGGTACTTCTGTCCCATTCGTGTTTCTACCGTGAAGCAGTTGTGTTTGCGTAGCTGTGTTATAATTAGAAGGGTGGGTGAATATGGATATGGCGTGAATTTACTGGGTACAGAGGAATAACACTTGAGTCCTCAGGAATGGCAACGCATGGGGGGTATCGTACGCGAAACAGTACACTCTGTTATGTCCACGGTACTGTTCATGTCTATAGGCGACGGTTATCACTTTCCAGCACCAAAAAAAACTGGGAACTAAGGCACTAGACTCGTAGATATCGAAGCATTAATAATATTAGTTCTTCTTTCATTATTTATATAAATCTTACCTTTTAATTGGTCCAAATACGAGATCTGCCTGTCACCATCCATGGGTACGGTGACCCTCATAACTTCGGGCGTGCATTCGATTTGAGACTCTGAACCTGTAACAATAGAGTTGTAATTAATTTAATGACGGACTCGTGGGTTTCTGGATCTGATAGGTCTCTAAATGCCTCCATTTTTCTCACCCATATTGTATGTATGATTTAAATTTCACTTGTAAGATTTTAACTAAATAAATATACATACATGAACATACATACATATAGATAGATAGATAGATACTCTTTATTGTTTCCTCCAAAAGATTACAATAGTAAACTTATTATAAATATAAATAATTACAAGAAATGATCACAGTGAGAAAACAATGGGCGACCTTATCGCTAAGAGCGATCTCTTCCAGGCAACTTTATATACATACAAATGTGAGCTTTTTTTAACAGATGATAATACATTGGTGACCCCGCCTGCGCTATCGGTATACACTGGCGGGGCACTAGTGATGATTGGTAAGGGTGAAAAGGCAGCGCAGTTAGCCCATCGTGACAAATTCAACGATAAATTTGTCACGATTGTTTCCAGGGGCAACCGCGTGGAATTCGACCTGATGAGGTATATTGATAACAATGGGGACTAACCTCCCCATTACTAACAATCCCTTCCCCCCTACAAATGTGAGCTGAATGTAAAATGCTTGTAAAAATACATCAATTTCTTTAACTGGGGGCCTCATTCAGCTTTGCAGCCCCGGACTTCTGACGGGTTTAATACGCTACTGATTTACCGATATTTATTATTATTGCAACTGTCCACTGCTGGACATAAGCCTTCCCCACAAGGGAAGTTTTGCCAGTAGTTGCCATGCTTGGCAGGCGGATTGGCAACCGCAGTTAGGCTTTTAGAGATATTTTAAGAAGGACGCTGCTGCTCATCCCTCGCCCTCCTTTAGTCGCCTCTTACGACACCTACGGGAAAGGAAGGGGTGGCAGATTCTATGCCCCGACATGTGCACCGATGAACACGGCAATTTATTTATTTAGGACTTTAATAAAATAATGTTTACTAAAGACTTTGTACAAAAGTCGTTTGCTTGGCCACCTCTGTCCCATTCGTTATTCTACCGTGAAGCAGTTGTGTTTGCATGGCTGTATTTCGGTTTGAAGGGTGGGATATGGCGTGAATTTACAGGTTACAGAGGAATAACACCTGAGTCCTCAGGAATGGCAACGCATTGGGAGTATCATGGACGAAACATAATAAAACATGTATAAAAAAATGTGATAAATATTAAAAAAAAAAATTGAAAAACTTCACTTTTTTCGGTTGGATTTTAGCAGAAAATTGCTGTTTTTTCGTTATTGTTTTACCTTGAATGTGAGTCGACGAATCTCACAATTGTCTGATAACGTTATAGGACCTTGCGAACATGATGTAAGTATGCGTCACGCACGGTAGAGGTCGCTGCGTTCGGAACTGGTTTTAATAAATAATTTAACAGGTCACGTGTGAATATTTTTAGAAAATAATAGATGATGAAACGCTGGCGGGGCACCAGTGAAGGATGATAGGTGAGGATGAAGCAGGTCAGTTGGGTCTTCGTGATCAATTCAACAAGAATCGTTGACGATGGTTTCCAAGGGGAACCACGTGGAGGTTGAGCTGATAGGGTGTATTAATAGCAATGGGGACTAATGTGGAAGGGGGGGGGGAAGTTATTGTTAGTAATGCAGGTAGCCAGTCCCAGTTTTAGCAATATACTCTCTCAGGAGTCAGGTCGACCTCTATGGTCCCTCGTGATCCTCCCTGGAAACCATCGTGCTGAATTCCAGGTGTATTCATCAGGATGGGCTAACTGACCTGCCTTTTTATCCTCACGTGTATCCTCACTGGTGCCCCGCTAGTATATACCATTGTAGCACCGGGATCACTATTTAATTTTCATCCATAAAAAAAAAAAATGAATAACCATTCTCCTTCCGTAATAAAACTTGCGACGCAACTCTTTCAAAGTCGGCTAACACAAATCAAACACACGTAGCAATAAATATGAAAACAAAAACAAATCGCAACATCTACAGACGGATTTAAAGTCGCATTAAAATCGACTCGATAAAGGCCCGTTCACACGCGACGCACGCCGCCCGACCGTAACGGGCGTCGAACCAGCGACTCTTGCCTCTAATGGATGTGGTCATCACGACCTTATAACTCTGTAGCATTTGTTATAGTTAAAATAATGTAGCGTTGAAAAAATCATCGATTCAGTGATTTTGTTATTTATTTATTTATTTTACACTTTATTGCACCGAGTAAAAAGAGAAATAACAAATACAGTGAATATTAATGAGAAGTGATACAAAAGGCGGCCTTATCGCCTCTTGGGTAGAGGACATTGAGTAAAAGACAAAGGATAGCTGGCGCACTATTATATAAATATTATCATATACAAACATATATACATACATACATACACATACATATATAATATATACACAATTAAATATATACATAATATACACTTACGTAACAGCACATATACTACAGAAAAAAAATGACGAAGGAAAACGAAGAGAGTACACAGGAAAATAGTACTAAAGGGAGAGGTAATAGGATTTAAAAGAGGTTTTGAAGCTAGTAAGAGTTTTATTTATTTATTTGTTTAGACATGTTGACAATACAAATAAATACTTTGGCAACTCTGCTATGTACATGGTACTGCTCATGTGTATAGGCGACGATTACCAGTTTCCATCAGGTGGGCCGTCAGCTTGTTTGCCATTCTAAGTTGTATAAAAAAAATCCTTTATAAGAGAGTTGAGTCTGCGCATTGCGGATAGGGGCCATGATCGCCGTTCTGGTTCGTATCTGGATCAAAGGATATCTCTGGCAATCCAACGCGGAAATGCCGCAAGATCATTAATTTTTTTTGGGTATATTTTTATATGTATATATATATATATATATATATATATATATATATATATATATATATATATATATATATATATATATATATATATATATATATATCTAATTTTATATATATATAATTCTCGTGTCACGGTGTTTGTTACCAAACTCCTCCGAAACGGCTTTACCGATATTTATGAAATTTTGTGTGCATATCGGGTAGGTCTGAGAATCTGGCCAACATCTATTTTTCATACCCATCAATGATAAGGGTGACCCACCCCAAAATATATTTTTTTTATTTTTTTGACAATTTTTTTTTTATTTTTATTTTATTATAATTTAGCATTGAAAAATACATACAACTTCAAATTTTCATCGTTTTACGATCAACCCCTGTATTTTAATCGCGATTTTTTATATTTCGCAATAAGTGGTAAAACAACGTTTACGGGGTCAGCTAGTATATATATATATATATATATATATATATATATATATATATATATATTCTTTATAGCACTTAAACAATACATACAGCGATTAGTTTAACAACTTGTTAGCAAGGGTGGGCTTATCTCTGAAAGAGATCTCTTCCAGCCAACCCAGTGTAGTTAGAGGGAAAATAATTTAATTGGCGGGTAATTTAGAGCAGGAAAGGTACAGGTAAAAATAATGTAAATTAAACAAACATACACATACCTAACAGTTCAACTTACACGCGATTTCCCCTGGAAACCGTCTTGGTTGATTCATGTCGAATTTTTCACGATGGTCCAAATGACCTACTTTCATCCTCACCTCTCATCTCTCACTGGTGCCCCGCCAGCGTATACCGATAGCACAGACAGGGTTACCATTCCATTTTCATCCATTAAAACAAAGCTTTCCATTACTGAACATAGGTCTTTCCATATTGCAGGGTTTTACCAGAGGGAGACTTTGTATAAAGGTCGATTGCTTGGGTACCTCTGTCCCATTCGTGTTTCTATCGTGAAGCAGTTGTGATTGCATGGCTGTGTTTCGGTTTGAAGGGTGGGATATGGCGAGAATTTACTGGGTACAGTGGAATAACACCTGAGTCCTCAGGAATGGCAACGCATGGTGGGTATCATGGGCGAAACGATATACTCTCTTATGTCCATGGTACTGCTCATGTCTATAGGCGACGGTTACCATTTTCCATCAGGTGGGCCTTCAGCTTGTTTGCCATTCTAAGTCGTATAAAAAAAAAAGTTGCCACGCTTGACAGGCGTATTGGCAACCGCAATTAGGCTTTGGTAATGTTTTAAGAGGGACGCTGCTGCCTATCCCTCGTCCATCAAGTTTCCTCAGTAACCTTTTACGACACCCACGGGAAAGGAAGGGATGGTCCATTCTTCTTCTTCTTTCAGCATTCTTCAAATTAATTCACAAAAAAGATGGTGGTTTGAATTTATTATGTGAGTTAACACATAAAAAAAAACAAACGAATTGAGAACTTACATCTTTTTTTTAAGTCGGTTGAAAAATAGATTACAAATTTTTAAAGGAAATAAGTACTTACATAAAGCGAGTTAAATGTAAAAGAGGAACATAGACTCGATGATGTACAGATGGGATCATTTAATTGATAGTTCAGACAAAAAGAAACAATGCAATGAATACGTACAAATTACGCTGTCCGTATATCTGATATCACTGAACTTGATTACGATAACAAATCTCAGTGCGTACGAACCCGCGGGCCGTGACTAGTATGCGCTCTGAACCGCGACACGTGGATACTCTTCCGTAGAAATTGTTGAATAAATGCATTCTTAATGCATTCTTTGTATACAGCGTGTTATTTTCTTAGTCTTTACATTTTTTAAAGTTTTTTTTTCAAACTAGCTATTTTCCGTAACTTTGCCGGCGTGAATCAACACATAAAGTATGAAATACATAGGAAAATTTTACCTAATAGTTTAAAATTAAGGTTCAAATACCCAAAACAAAAACAAACAAAAATATGGGACAACAATAGTCACAAATAGCTATTTCAATCGTCACAAAATTAAATGTGAAACCAACATGGCAATGATTACCAGAGGGAGACTTTGTACAAAAGTCGATTGCTTGGGTACCTCTGTCTCATTCGTGTTTCTACCGTGAAGCAGTTGTTTGCATGGCTGTGTTTCGGTTTGAAGGGTGGGATATAGCAGTGTAT